ACGCTCGGCCCAAATAACCCCAATATGACGAAGTTTTCAGCGGATTTGGTGAAAACAGCCGTGGCGCCAAATTGGCGCCAAACGGCGCCAAATGGCGCCAGCGCTAAAAACGGGTGTCGTTTTCGTAATCAGGACCCCAAATAACCCCAAATGACGAAGTTTCAGCAGATTTGGTGAAAACAGCCGTGGCGCCAAATGGCGCCAAATGACACCAGCATCAAAAATGAATGTCATATTCGTAATCAGGGCATCGAATTACCCCAATAGACAAAGTTTCGACGAAAAATGAAACTTTGAGATTTTGGGGCAGTAATCGTGGGATGCCCAATCCGGCAATAGGGGAAGGCTGAAAACGGTGAAAAACCAAAGTTTCAACTGGGGAAGTAATGCATATCATTCGATAGCATTTTTCACGGGGAAGCTAACGGGGCACATTTCAGGTCCAATGGGAGAAAAAGGTGAAAAACAAGTTTCGTGTGCAACCTGTGTTGTACACCATTCGATAGTATTTTTCATGGGAAATCGAATGGTGCACATTTCAGGTTCAAGTCCTTCTGGACAAGCAAAAAAACTGATCATATCACAAGGACATGACGAGGAGTGATGTTTGGGGCCACACCACGGAAGGAACGCTCACCTGCGACCAAATTTTTACATAATTCCTACAGACAAGTAACCGTAGTCTACGCCGGTGGAGAGATTTCCTCGCTATCTTCTCAGGTTTCCACAAAACATCTCCTCTAAAAGTGGGGAATGTCACATAATGGGCCTACCACTACTGCAATCCTAGATGAAGCTCTTTCGAAAATTGAAATATAGCATCTTGTAAATCTCGAGCAGAGCTATCAGCTGGTATAACTTTTCAAATCGCGCGAACCATTTCTTCAAGAGTTATGGCGAGGCGACGGTTTGCGACGGTTTTTACCCGTCGCAAACCGTCGATTGAACAAAAATTAGTATCAGTATTGTAGGCATAAGAACACTGTAATCGCTTGCTGTACACAATTGCATGGGCGCAAGGTGGGAAATATACGTACATAACATCTGGGGCCGTAAGGTATGCTTCCCCGAACAGGAGAGGAACCCCTCCCTGGTAATGTATGCTCTCCCCGAAAACTCTCGGGGAAAGAAAATAGCATCGGTTCTCGGGTATGTCTCCCAGACTGCATGTCAATTGCAAGGATATTTCGCCGATTGCATGTCAATCGGGGAGAAATCCCCGAGAACTGGAGGCGTGGCCCTTTCCCCGAGAGTTTTCGAGCATACCTTACCAGGGAGGGGTCCCTCTTCTGTTCGGGGAGGCATACCTCAAGGGCCCTGGTGGGTTCAAAATGGGGCCGAGGAAGTGGAGAAGAGCTCGAAGGAAGGCTTTGTGAAATCATGAAGGCGGTAGCTAACGATAAGAGCCAGACTGGAGAGATAATGGGAATGAGGAGAGGCGAGACAGTCAGACGAGGGATTGACAATAGTTTTCATGGAATACTTATTGTCATTTCGAGCATATTAGTAGGTATACACATGGTTAGACTCGCCACAGAGAGGCGAGTCTATTGCTGTGTAAAGATCTTTCCATTTTACCCGCTTTCAAGGAAGTTATAATGGTGCGACGGTTTGCGACCCGACAGAACCTCGCGACGCCACAGCGTCACGACGCGTAGTGTTAAAGTCATGAGCGTATTGTAGAGCTGAGCAAACAGCTTTTGCTTTTTTGCGGAGCCGTAAGTCTGAATGTCGGAGAGGGATGAGTCCTCGAGACGGCTCGACGGCACTTCTTCCGGTTTTCTAAAACTCCTCAACTTGAGCAAGCGAACTCTTTGAAACGGAGTTCTTAGAAATCCATATACCTATAATCTAATACAGTTTAGAGCAAGGGCTCCGCCTGATTGAAGACTTCTGCTCTTCATGGCGCTATTGTTCCACCCGTTCAAGGGCAAGCTTCGCACTTACATGCAACCTAAGTGTTTTTGAGAAACCGGTGCTTTACTCATGAGTGTATTCGTACTAACTGTAGTAGGGGTTGTATCGAGATCTGTTTGCGATGATCTCAAAAATTTTGAAACCAGCTGAATGCGAGGTTGACCCTGCTTGAAGTTGCTTCGCCGTTATAAGCTTGGAGTGAATTGCAAATATTGAAATGTGCAGCCTTACAAATGACCAACCTGGTGCTACAGTCGCGTCTTGACAGTATCCGCATGTCTTCTTGCAATATTGCTTAAAAGATATTCAAATATACTCGAGTTATTAGTTGTGCCATGCATCAACAAGCTAGTGATTATTGTTCAAGAAGAGATTCACTTACCCGTGCAAAGGTTCCAGAGTCTCTGCTCTGACAAATGATACCACCATCCAGGTTGCAACCAGGTGCTGTATCGACGCAGTTACCGGAAATTCGATATGATCGTCCATATAGACGTACTGGCCTGTTGGGTAGTTCGTAGCGCTTTTTTCTTTTTGAATTTGACCTATATCATTACTTTCCTCTACCAGGAATTTGGCGGCAAAACTAAAGCACTTTCACTGCTCAGCGGTACTATGGCTATGCCGTTTTCAAAAATTTAATGTTTTCTATATAGAAATCCTGGGAAAATTCTGGACCTAGAAATTAGAGTAGGTCTAGGCGAGGAGTTCCAGAATTCCGGTACTTGCCTCAAATTTTGCCGAAGGACCGTTACAACTTTTTCAAGGATTCAGTTTAGAGTAGACTCGCCTGGGTACCACGCCAGGCGATGCTCTAAATCGGAATTTCGTGAGTGCCGACAACACCTGCATTGACGTCAACTGCAATTTCGTGAAATGGGCTTAGGGAGTTCAGGCTTAACTTGATGGGGTGATTCCACTCAAATGTGAAGGTAGGGATGGGAAGTGGACCGCCAGTGGAGAAAAAGGGGAGAGAATCCTGAATTGCATAGGTAATGGTGTGGAGAATGTTCAAAAGACAGGCAGGGAGATGAGAGATAATGTGAGCGCGGAGAGTGGTAGAGAAGTCCGAGAAGAGAGAGCATAGCAGATCAACGTGGCGACAGACAAGATATCGAACGGTGGGCGGACCATGTTAAGTTTGGTGGAGTCTGTTAGAAGTCCATGGCGCCTAGGGTCCTAGTGACGCGTTTCGATGTAGAAAGGTGGCGCTACCTTTGCACTTACCCAGCACTTCTAGCCATGGTAAGGGCTTCTTAGGTGGGTCTGAGCCCGAACTTTGCCTTTAAGAATTGAAGGGCAGCCGGCAAATAACAGTCATCTGCTCTACGACAATGCGCGCCGTTGTCGCAGTTGCACGAAATTGCTAATAAGGAAATTCTGCATGCTCCACTCATCCATATAAATGCCAATCCCCTACGAATCAGATCAGTGCGCGATGCGTGCATATTGAGAGCATGGTCGCGAAGGTGACGGGATAAATCATAACGAGAATTTCTCGACAAACGAGATATTGAGAGCAGGGTAGTAGAGGGTAGCTCCGAGAAAGGAAGTGGATTGTATTTAATGGAAGCTTTGTTGTTCAGTCGCAGCGTATTCTCCACTGAAGTGGATTCATCTAGTATCAAAGGATTCAGAAGTGATTTTTGTCTCTCCTATAAATAACGAAGTGAAGGTGACGTAGTAACGTTTCGGGAAATTGTGCAGAAATTTTTTGTTGCCTTTGTGTAATTTCCATGATGGCTATTTCGAGTACGGGCAAGCACAAAGAGACACAGCGTTAACTAAATAATTGCTGTGTGGGTAGCTCGTATTTGATCAGCTGGAACGGAGTGGCGAGTGTACGTGTAGGAGCACTTGGAGGCACATCCCAAACAGACGTCGTGCGAACGATACTCTTCAGTCTCCAGAAGAACCATAAGATGGCAACCACAGTTGTAATATTTCCGATCATAAAAATTGCCTGCCATGACCGCTAAGTCCTAGCAACATTAGCTGTAGCTGCTGTACCTCGACCACAGGCTGCAGTCAGGCATTTCCTCACCTGTTGCGCTCTCTCGCTTCATACTCTCCTCTTCGCGCTCAGTCTCTAGCTGCCTTAGCACAGCCGCATAATGAAGGCGAGCAAGCTTGCAACCAACCGTTTTCGACAGATTCTTTTCCTTTTTCCTTTACTCCCCACAAGTTTAGTGCTGGAATATGCTTTTAGCAAACTTTCAAGGTCGCCTGCGGTGGGTTCTTTCGATGGGGGCGACTCCACTCTTATACAGTTATAATCCTTGAAAGAGCAAACACATCATAACATCGTAGCATTACTATATTGTATGTTTGTACGTCTCCGAAACCAGAAAAAAACCAAAACTATTTCAAGATCGAGGCAATGTTTTGGTATTTCTCCCTTTTTGTGCTTGACATAACCTAAGCGTGCCTACTGATCGATAATGATGCATATTACTTGAGTCTTGTGAATTTACGGTCTGCAAACAAAGACGAAAATGGAGTTGTTTATGTTACGCTACAGAATGACTCGGATTAATTTGGCCAACCTGTATCGCAGAAGCCGCAGGTTTTTGGGCAGTCCTCTTGAAGAATGTTCTTCCAGGCAATACTTTCGCACATTGCCTGCGTAACTGACGAGCACGGTATTCGCGGCTCTGGAAAGCTCGTATATTAGCAAAAAATATCCGCTTGGTAAAGATTGTCACGACTGAGCTCGTAGCTTTTTTCTCCTATATAATCGTACTGGGATGCTGCAACTCACGCAGTTTGTCATGACATAAAAATGCTGGAGTGAGGCAGCAATAGCCACAATGCTTTGGACACAGATCAACAGCCGCTTGAACTAGTTGGGGATCCTGAAATAGACATGCTGGCTCTTCGTTGCATTCGCTTTATTTTAAGAGTTGACCGCAACGGTTGGACGACGGCTAAGTATGAATATCAGTCCCCGCCATGTCTCAGAAGCACTCCGCATCATGTGCTGTTGCGCGATGCGTGAATGACTGCCGCACGCGGTGCGTGTGCATAAAAATAACGGCAACCTATTTGGATAGGTGGGTGTCATTTGATTGATTTAATATTGTATTTGAATTTTCTCTCCGTCGTTGAGATCGCGCGGCCTTTCTTACGCGGTCGTGCCTAGGCAGAAGTGATTCTACGAATCGAGCAGAGCAAAGATTGGTCGGAAGACCATTTTAACAGATTCTAGTGGATGTGGAAGGGGTGTGAAGTGATTCGAAAGCAACGTTGAGAGCAGGAAAATTCGTCAAGATTATGTAAAATGGAACTTCCCGCCTGCCTTTCGATGATCGACTGTGAATGAGTTAGCAATAAAAAGGGCTTTCGTACGTGTCACACGATGGCCAACATCGCGTCGAAAAATATCCTGGTTTATTGAATACGGGCGCTTTAAGTTGAATGCTCTTTCGAATTGAGTAGCTAGCAATGCTTCTATTACTATCATAACATCATGGTGGGCGGAGCGGTTAGGAGGGCGTTACGGTTTTCAGATTCGGAGCATCAGCGCACTGCAGTTAGCTCACCGTTCGCTACGAAAACGCTTCAACGTGCCTCCTTTGTGCTTGGCTACTGCTAATAGTGCCGCATATACTCTCCGGGTGTGCATGCTCTTTACCGGGATCAGATCAGTGCCCTTAACGCACATTCAATGATAGCCTTCTCGGCTATTTTCAAAAATTCACTAAAAATAAAGAGCTCTCTTGTCAACTGATCAACCCACGAGCAAGTGTTCCAAAAAAGAGCGATAAAAACTGAGATGGACATTCTCCGCCCAAAGGGGCTAGATTTTCTGAGCAAAGCCTAACCAAAAAAAGTCACGTACTATCGCTGTGTCTCCTCCGCATTTTACATCTCGATTTACGGGCTGGCCTGCAACCGCTGCCGCACCGTATAGAGCGGCACAATTCGCAGGTCGACAATTTATCTTGACAATTTGTTGCCGATGGAGCGAACTGAAAAGAGTACTGATCGAAGCACAACCACAGAGGATCATCTAAAAATCTTTACACAACAGTAACGACATATTTGAGACCGGTGTAATTTATATTATTAGGAAATAATGATACGAGGCAAAAAAGGAAACTGAAACAAAAATCGTGCTGCGAAGCACATTGTGAAGCATTCAAATCTGACAGATAGTGTGTTTTCCTATGACTGAGTTTGCTCGAGATATTTCATAGCAGAGAGCGGCTTCAATAATGAATATAGCTGGCTTCAATAAGAATGCAATACTCCAGCAATCCAAGCTTCATTTGAGCTTGTTCGCCAATTCTTAGCTGTTATTCTAGAAGGATTGTGGTTACATACCTTGAGGGCACCACCTTCATATATCGTACAGTTCAAGTCCACAGCTCCTGCCCATACACATCCTACGAGTAGCGACGAAGACAGTAGAAAGCGATACATGCCTTTTCTGAAAATGTCCAATGATCCAGTTCGATTCGATGATGCAGAAAAGTGAAGCTCGGCAAATGAACAAACAGAGGACCTTTTATATTGTAGCTACCTCCCCACTCCAATACACCTGACCAAATTTTCTGCTGAGCGTATGGCAAAGCAGTTCGAACACTACCTTTTGACGTTATGTGACGTTCACCGCAGAAAAAAATCTTTGAAAAGCTGTTTGTACTATTTTATCGGAGAGACACGGAACTACTCCAACTTCAAACTGAGATATATCGCCATCACTCCATAAGTTGTGCCTGCAGCCTCAAGTGTCCACTTTTTCCTTTGATTTCTTCCATCGCTGTAAGGTAATCAACTGTATACAGTTTATAACGCTATAGCTTTGAAAGAATCTGGCGAGCAAAGAAAGGTTTAAAAGAGACATCATTTTTCGCCACTCTGACAAATTCGATCCCATGGGAGGCATTCAACTTCCCATGGAACTTGAGATGAGACCCAGATATATCGATAGAGCTTCAAACGCTGATTACAAATATGGAAACTAAAACTGCAAAATGAACCTGCCAAGGAAGTTGTGAGCAGTCAAAGTTGGCTAAAGTAAAGCGTTACATATGAACCGTGCTGACTCCAGGCTTTCAGAGTCGCCGCGGAGTAGCGATAGTGCCCCCGCTCTCCCGGGAGGTCATAAGTTCTCTTCCTGTTGGAGTGCAAATTTTGAGAGCACTACCACTGCTCCACGGCGACTCTGAAAGCCCGGAGGGCGGCACGTAGGGCTTCTGTTGAAGCCATTGACTGCTCACAACTTCCTTGGCAGGTTCATTTTGCAGGATTTTTTTTACATTTTTGCATTCTTAAGGATTAACCTAAACCGAGAATTGCGTAACTGTGATGTTCCGCCAACAAATTTGAGGTTTTCTTGGGGATCATCGAATTCCCAGCAAAAGCCTCAGCATAGTAGCTCTGGATGGGAAAGAGCTAAGAAAGAAAAATTACTTCATAGAGATTTTTCGAGCATGACCGAATTTCGAGCAAATTTCAAGTTATT